ACAGGAAGTGATGCAAAGATTTACATCTTCCCTTTTCACATGGCGCCCTAGAACCCCTTCTTCCTCTGGCCCCTACAATGGCAGGTGCTCAGCAGCCAGGCAGCTCTGTTAAAGTTTTCCCCTGTAGGTGAAGGAGTTGGCCGGTCGGTGCACATGTGCGGATTTGTCTTTGGGTGTATACCTGTTGTAGGATGTGTACATCAAGTAAGTGTCTGTGTGTGTGAGTACACATCTGTGTGTGTGAGTGTGTTACTGTAGCTACAGGCACTTTTTGTGTTTGGTTGTGCTTGCATATTGCCAGGGAGCGTGTGTTTTGCAATTGGTACACTTCTCTTTATAAATGAGTGTGTACATAAATTGTTATGTGTGTGTACATGTGCCAGGATGTACATATCTATGCTGCTGAGTGTACCTAACCTACATTCCAGGGTTTGGGTCAGTTGATCTCCGTGTGTTAGAGTGTGTTGGAGTATGTAATGTGTGCGTGTGTATGAGTTTTTCACTTGCCTCTTTTTTCCTCCATGCATATATATCTGTGGCTATCTGAGTGGGGTTCTGTCTGTATACATATGTGTGCATGTTTCTCTGTGTGTGTGTGTGCACATGGCAGGATTTAAGCTCATGTGAGCATGCTGGCATATGCAAGTAACTGAATCTGAGTGTTAATGTATGTAATGGTGTTTGTATAGGTGATGATGTAGGTATGCCACTGTATACATATGTGTGTTATAAGAATTTATGTGAATGTGTGAGAATATTTGGATACTCAGGTAGGTTGTGTATATGAGTCTTCATGTGAGTAGGTTTGTGTGTGTGTATATCTCAGGATTTGAGAGTTCGTGTGTGTGTGTGTGTGGAGTTACAATTGTGGGTTTACAGGCCATTGCACATGTATGTGTGTGAGTGTTTGTGTATTGAATGGTTCTCACCCCTCTCATACCCAACACCCTCTTTATGTAACAGTTATTTTGTAACACCACCTTACTATCTGGACATGAAGTTCTTAGCTAATTTAATCTCTGTGCATATAATTTCAAAAGAAAATCCATGTAGTATTTTATGCAGTATCTGTATTGTATTAACTCTACCAGAAATAAGTAGAAATAAAAGGTAAGAGATATATAGGAAAATAATTTGTATTTTGATATGTAAATGCTCGGGCGTGACACTCCCTAGGGGAATCAATGAAGTAATTAGAGTTTTGGAATGTCTTACCATGAGTAAACGTGGGTTTAGGAGAAGGGTGGAAAACAAGCTGCCTCTTGCACCAAGTGCAGAGAAACAACAGGCAAAGGCCTAGAGGTGAGATTTCCCAAAATAGCGAACAATTGCAGGAAACTGCTCCACAAAGCAAAGTACAGTCTCCTCTGGACTTACATGAAAAGTTGTGTTCCAGGATAATTCAAGGTATGTTAAATCAGGGGGGATATTGTGTTTCTGTGTGAAAGAGTTAGATTCTAACTTCAGGTCATTACAAGTCTAAAGGCCTAGGGGATGTGGCTGTGTGGGACTGCCCCCCAAATCAGTGGATGGCAGCATCCTCGCCCTGGACCCCTAAATGCCAGGAAAGCATACACCCTAGCATTGTGTCAACCAAAAATGCTCCTACAAATTTCCAAAAATGTCCCCTAGGGGGCAGTGACGCCTCTGTTGAAGATGAAGCGTGGGCGTTTGGGCAGGGTACCTAGTTCGTGTGAAGGAGGCAGCGGTACAGATATACCTTCCGCTCGCGTGTGCGTGTGCGTGTGTGTGTGCGTGCGTGTGAGCTGGTTGCTGTCTGCGGGTTTCCATAGCAGTAGGTTCTGTGTGTGAGTGTGTAGGTGTGTATCTGCTATCTGAGGGAGTCGGGCACAAGCAGGTGTGTGTGTTACGTGCATGCACACACATCCTTAGCCTCTGATGGGCCCAGGCTGCCGCTGCCAATCTGGGCTCAAAATCCTCTCCTTGCTTATTTGTAGAATTGCCCCAGGTTTCCAGGCAACACCAGGGTTTGTTTTTTTGCTGCTATTTTTTGTTGTGGTTGTTTTATTTTTTGTTTTGTGTTCATTTTTGTTTTCACTGAGACTCAGCTTCGCATTATTCACCTTCTTGGTCTTAGCGTATCTCTGTGTCTCCCTCTCTCTGTCTCTATCTTTGCCTCTTTCCCCCTTGGCTCCCTATTATCTGTCTCTCAGGCCCCACCCCCATCTCTATTTCTCTATACCCATCTCTCTTTACTGGCATTATCTCTCTCCTTCTATCTCTCAGTCTCTGTCTCTTTCTCCTGCTCTCCTCCCTTTGTCTCTTTTTCTATCTCTTTCTCCCTTTCTGTCTCTCTGTCTCTCACTCCGTCCCTACTTCTCTGCCTTCTTTGTCTCTTGCACTCTGTTTCTGTGTGTCTCTTTGTTCTCACTCTCATTCTCTTCCCATCTGCCTCTTATTTCTATCTCTTCCTGTCTCTCTCCCATTTCTCTGATTATTTCTCTCCTTTTCTCCCTGCTGTGTCTTCTTCTCTGTCTATCTCTCTCTCTCACACACACACACAAACACACATACGTTCATTCATCATTCCTTCTCTGTCACTCTCTGTGTGTCTCTCTGACTCTCTGTTACATTCAGTCTTTATTGCTTTTCCCTGCCTCCCTTCAAGGCTAAGGAGTGTGTGTGTGTGCACGCGCACACACGCACATTTACATACATCTAGCTATCAGCTGGTCCACTGTTCCAGGGGAGCTTAGGCCTTTAGGAGCCCAAAGGGGGCCCACCAATCCCATTTTTCCTGAGCCCCTGCTCTTGCAACTTCTCATGGCCTACTGGCACCATCTGTGAGATTTTGGGATGCCAGCAAAAAAGCCTGGCTCCAGGTGGCTGTGGCAAGCCAAGTTGGGTTTTTCTGGGAATCGGTGCAGAGGGTAGACTTTTATCCTGGGAGGAAGGGTGTAGAAAGAGCTTCACCCAAGTCCTGCTGCTCCCATCCTCAAATCCAGCCCAGCTGAACTGGAGTTAAGCTTCTCCAGCTTCTGCCTGACCTGCCTTGCTGCCTTTCTCCTGGAATCTTCTGTGTTACCTTGTCACACCTCACTCCCCCTGCCCCAGCCGCACATACAAGGAATCCTCCTGTTTCCCCTCAAGCTTTCCTATGACCCAACACTCAGGCACTGCCTAGTCTGGCTACCTGGATGCCTCCCTGAGCCACCAACCCATTTACTCTCTCAACCATTTGGCTTGACAGCTTCTGACTGAGAGCCTAGCACATGCTATGCACAGCTCTTCTAGAGGAGAATGTGTGAATCTATAATCTTTGCCCTTGAGAAACATTCGTTCTAACAGGGAGAGGCAGGCAATAAACCAGATTTTAAAAGTAAATTATATAGTGCATTAGAAGAGAGAAATTCTAAGAAGAAAAATAAACCAGGGCAAGGGGTATGGGACTGCTATTATTTCTCACCTGGATTACTGCAGGAGCCTCCTAAATAGCTTCCCTACTTCCACCTTTGTGCCACATGGTCTGTGTGCCTCACAGCAGCAATGGGATCCTGTTCAATCCTGAGTCATAGGACATCTTACCTCTGCTCAAAAAGCTCGCATGGTTGCCATCTCATTCAGAGTAACTTTTACTCTTCACCATGGCCTACATTATCTGGCCTGGCCAACCTTTCTGATCTCACCACCCACCATTTTTCCCTTGCTCACTCTGTTCCACCCGCATTGGCCTTCTTGCTCTTCCTCAAATGCACCACCTGTAGTCCCACCTCAGAGCCTTTGCTCTGGCTGTTCCCTCTGCCTAGACTTTTCTTCCCTCACATATCCACATGGCTCACTCTTTCACCCCCTTCAGGTCATTGCTCAGATGGTACCTTCTCCATGATGCCTTCCCTGCTCACCTCATCTAAAATTGCACCTCCCCCACCTTTTATTTTATATTCCCCTGACTTCTTTTATTTTTAGGAACTTCCCATCATCTGACCTACTTTACTTCACCTATATATCTTCTTTCTTATCTAGAATGTCAGCTTCACCAGGGCAGAGACCTGTGACTATCTTTTTCACAGCTGTATCCTCAGTGCCTGGCACACAGTTGATACTCAATAGGTTTTCGATAAGTGAATACACATAAGCCTACCTACATCTTCATATTTACACATACTCCCCACCTCATTTAAAATAAAACCCAAGTGCTCATCATAGCTCACAGCCCTACATGAACTGCCCCCAGACACCTCTGTGACCTCACCTACCACCATTTCCCTTGCCGGCCCTGTTCTAACCGCCCTGGTCTTCCCACTGTTCCTTGAATATGAGCACACTTAGCACATTCCTGATCATGAATAAAAAACCTACTTAATGAGTGGCTACCAGCATTAACCAAAAAACACGAAACGAATAGAAACAAATGACATACACAGCACATAGGATCAGTACTGTTTTGTGCAACATTTACTTCAGCGATGTGTGTGAGGTGGTGATGTAAAATGTATTTCTTACCATGGGTGGCAGTCAGAGTTTGAAAAGCTCAACATTAGGGCTTTGCAGAGGGGAAGAAAAGCCACGTCAACATCCCTCCCCAGAGACCCACCAATGGAGGAAACAGGTAACCTGGGACATCAAGAGAGGTAAAGTATCCTCATCCAGCCAGGAGGGGTAGGAGCAGCAGTGAGCCAGAGGCAGGAGCTGACACCAGCTGGGGAGGAAGTGGGGAGGTGGCCTACACACACTAACACTGCCCTTTCTGTTTCTTCCTTGCCTTGCCTTTCCACCTGTTTCTCTCTGTCTCTTTCTCTTGGGTTTCTCTTCCTCCCTCTCCCCTCCTCTCTCTGCCTCTCTTTCCTTCCCTCTCTCCTTGTCTCTCTGGTGCTGTCTCTCTCCTTATCTCTTCTCACTCTTGCTCATCCCCTCTATGTCCTTCTCCATTTGTATCCATTTATATCTTTGTCACCATTTTGTACTTCTTTGTTCTATCTTTCTCTCTATCTGTGCCTCTCTGTGTTTTTTTTCTCTCTCTCTCTCCTGCCCTCATCTCTCTGTCTCTCTGTGTCTGTGTCTCCCCTATTATCCTCATTTGCAGGTGCGGCCCAGCAGGACAACTGATGGAGTCCTCCAAGGTCCATCGAGTACCAGACTGGCTGGCCCTGTAGGGTTGGGAGCAGCCCCTGCCCCTCAGTATGGCCAACACCACTGGACAGCCCGAGGAGGTGAGCGGCGCACTGTCCCCACCATCAGCATCAGCTTATGTGAAGATGGTGCTTCTGGGACTGATCATGTGTGTGAGCCTGGCGGGCAATGCCATCTTGTCCCTGCTGGTGCTCAAGGAGCGTGCCCTGCACAAGGCTCCTTACTACTTTCTGCTGGACCTGTGCCTGGCTGATGGCATACGCTCCGCCGTTTGCTTCCCTTTTGTGCTGGCTTCTGTGCGCCACGGCTCCTCATGGACCTTCAGCGCACTCAGCTGCAAGATTGTGGCCTTTATGGCCGTGCTCTTTTGCTTCCATGCAGCCTTCATGCTGTTCTGCATCAGTGTCACCCGCTACATGGCCATTGCTCACCACCGCTTCTATGCCAAGCGCATGACACTCTGGACATGTGCAGCTGTCATTTGCATGGCCTGGACACTCTCTGTGGCCATGGCCTTCCCACCCGTCTTCGATGTGGGCACCTACAAGTTTATCCGTGAGGAGGACCAGTGCATCTTTGAGCATCGCTACTTCAAGGCCAATGACACGCTGGGCTTCATGCTTATGTTGGCTGTGCTCATGGCAGCCACACATGCTGTTTATGGCAAGCTGCTCCTCTTCGAGTATCGTCACCGTAAGATGAAGCCAGTGCAGATGGTGCCAGCTATCAGCCAGAACTGGACATTCCATGGCCCTGGGGCCACAGGCCAGGCTGCTGCCAACTGGATCGCTGGCTTTGGTCGTGGGCCCATGCCACCAACTCTGCTGGGTATCCGGCAGAATGGGCACGCAGCCAGCCGGAGGCTGCTGGGCATGGATGAGGTCAAGGGTGAAAAGCAACTGGGCCGTATGTTCTACGCAATCACACTGCTTTTCCTGCTTCTCTGGTCACCCTACATTGTGGCCTGCTACTGGCGAGTGTTTGTGAAAGCCTGTGCCGTGCCCCACCATTACCTGGCCACTGCTGTTTGGATGAGCTTTGCCCAGGCTGCTGTCAACCCAATCGTCTGCTTCCTGCTCAACAAGGACCTCAAGAAGTGCCTGAGGACTCACGCCTCCTGCTGGGGCACAGGAGGTGCCCCAGCTCCCAGAGAACCCTACTGTGTCATGTGAAGCAGTCTGATAGGCAGATAGGATGAAGAAGGTCATAGCCACCATAATGGGGCCAACAGAAAGGAAAGGGTGGGCCCCATAAAGGAGAATCTCTTTCTGAGCTCCAGCCCCAACCCCTCAGACTGCCTGGAATCTAAACACCTTTGCCAACACCTCCCCAGGGTTGGGAACTGGGAAGGGGACTGGGAAAGAGGTGTTTCTAGTTCTGTGGGGCCTGTTTTTGCCACCTCCTTCTCCCCTTCTACAATCTCTTCCTTTCCCCTGTCTCAGTCTCTCAATCTCTCAATTTCTCTTTCTCTCAAAAGTGACAATTCAGAGAAAGAAAGCAAGACTGAAAATGCAGGTTCTACTAACAGCTGAGGAGACAGGCTTTTCTGCTTTAATGTCTCTCCTGAAACTGTCCAGAAGGAAGAAATTTGTCATGTAAAATAGACTTCAGAGCTCTTATTGCCCTCTCTGTTCCCATGCACACTCCCTCTTCTAAGCCCTTTAGCAAGGCCTGGATATTTAGGGAGAAACTGATCTGCTGACGAGGGATGAAAGAGGGTGCTGGGTCCCCACAGAGCAGAGATGTTTAATTGCTATGTTGTATGCAATTTTGTTTTAGGCTAACCTTGGTCCCAAGCCTGGTCTCCTCTCTCTCTCCACCGTGCCCAGACCTCCCAGGTGTTTCTTGCACATCTGTTTGAGAAGCCAGGAGGGGAGGGAGAACCCCTGAGATGGGCTCCAACTAGATTAAGAGCAGGATGTGAGCTGTATGCCTTGAGCCAAAGAGACCTGAGCTTGGCTGCATTCTCTGGAGCTGCCTCCAGGATTCTCGGCCCTCAGCTCTTCTTTTTGAGAACGGAAATGCACTCCAGCACCACTAGGGCTGATGTGGGTGCCACAGAGGCAGGAACATCCCCTCCAGGAGAGTGTAGGGAGAGAGCCAAACTCCCCAGAGTAGATGGATCCCGGAGCTGGGGATCAGAGCAGAATTCAACCCCAGATTGTCTCCTTCATTCATGCTGCTCTCTTGGAGATGAAAATCCTTTTGGGGCCTTGGCAACTCATAGTGGTATAAGCTCCAAGGCACTGTGGACTTTAGTCCATTCCTATCTGACCTCTTTTTGTCTCCCTCAAGCCTCAGGGGCCTCAAGGACCTCTGTGGAAGCCCTTCTGGGTCCACAGCTCCCAGCAGCCCTTCTCCCCTTCCCTCCCACCACCCTTCCCCCGACCCAAAGTGGAGCACACTGCAGCCAGATCCTCCAGGTGGGAGGTCCCAAGCCTCCCTCTTGGGGCAGAGTCCATTCTGGGCCCCTGTCAAGGCCAGTTCCTATGGACTGCTGAGCCAGGCTGGTGCTCCTTTGCCTGTTCTTGCCCAGGTTCTCCATCCCCCTCTCATTTCCCAGGAAAGGAGGAGATCCTTATTTATCCTCCCCACTTTCCCTTCCCAATAGAAGCTCTTGCCCAAAGCTCCATTCCTACCCCAAGACAGCCCCAGAACTGGGGAAGCCTTGACACAAGAAAAATGGGGAGGGCACTCTGGGCAGGAGAGACAGTAATGAGCCTGGCTGTGGAGTACCCCTGGGAAGGCAGGCCAGAGTGGCTGAGAGGCTGGGGCTGGGGGGTGCCTGTTCTCTCAGTGATAGTGATGGAAGGGTGCCTTTCCCAGGGAGTTGGGGGGGGACAACAGGGGTGGGGGTAGATAGGGTACATTCAGGAGGGTTTTCCTCCATTTCCTTTTTCTAACTGCCTGTATTCACCATTGGATTTTGTAAATGGAAAACAAATGAACAATGCTATATTGGGTATTTCCTTTTTCTGACTCTGTGTGTGTGTGTGTGTGTGTATGTTCATGTGTCTGTGTCTATGTGTCCTGTCTGTGTGACCACAGGTGGGGAGGGGAGGTATGATGGAGTGAGACAGTGTGTATTTCTTGTGATTTTGTGTGGAGAGGCACCCTGGCCTAGTGCACACATGTGAGCAAATGCCTATATGTGGAGACATGTACAGTGCACATAACACATGTATATGTCTGCACCTAATTGAGAGGAGACAAACTAGAGTATGTTCCTGCCACGGGAAGTAGAGCCGTCAGAGAGATGGAAGTTGAAAACCTCATGTATGTATGCAACAAGAGTGTAGACTCCCATCTCATAAGATGTTCCTCCCTTGGCTCAGGCTCTGAACATGGGGGACAGAACCCTTTGAGAAACCCATCTTGTCCCAAACCCTGTTCCCAGGTACCATTCCCAACTCCTGTATCAGTCTCCTTTACAAAACCCTATACAAGGGGTTCCTGAAACTGGACCACCATGGAGAATGGGGACTGAGAATTGGAATCAAACTTGGGGGGAACTGATGGGGTTAGGAAATGCCCCCACAAAGTAATGGCTTCTGGAGGGACTGCTCACTCTGAGATGGGAGCTCTACTGAGGGGTCCACTGTATACAGCTGGGACTTTGGTAAGCTTTGACTAAATTCAGAGGGAGGGATGTCACTGGGGGCAAACCCAAGCCTGGGAGTCTAACTCAGACAGCCTGCTCCCTGTGAGCTCAATTACTTTACAGGGGTGGGGGTAGATAGGGTACTATTTACATATTCTCTCAGGTGCACAGAATTAAGTTGACCATACTCAGTTCTTGGCACACAATATCATCATTGGTCAATGCAAGGCCCATTTATTCTTTATTTCATTTTGTTTTGTCCCCTTCATCACCCATCCCTGATCCCATCCCCTCTCCCACACAAGCACCCACTCTTGTGTATTTAACATCCTTCCAATGCACCGTTTATGTGTTTATTTACATATATGTGTATCTGTGAAAAATATATGGTATTGTTATGTGTTTTAATTTACATAAACAGTATTGCACTATAAATCTTGTTCTGTTTCTTTTTTCACTCAACATTCTGTTTTGAGAGATCCTGCCATGCCATATGTAGATCTAATCCATTCTAGGGGTCCATCTTACACATATATCACATTTTTCTTATCCATTCCCCTGGTGGTGGGTCTCTAAGTTACCCAATTCTGTGTTGCCACAACAAGGCTGCAATGGGCAGTTTCCTAAACGTCTCTTTAGGGATGCCTAATTTAGAGGAGAGGAAACTGAAGCTCAGAGGGGGACAGTGATTTTGATCGGGTTACAAAATGAGGAGCGGACTCCTGATGTGAATCCCAGACCAAAGCCAGAACGTCACCACCATGCCTCACAAGCAACGGTCTATCCAGCAAAAAAAAAAAACAAAAACAAAAACAAAAAAAACTAGAATACAGTTAAAAACAGCATACACTAGGGAAAGAGAGAGCAAAGGATTGGAAGGAGGATAAATAATTGAGTCGATGAAAAGATAGAAGGCTGTCGAAAAATCTGGCAGATGAACTGAATCAATCATTTTGATGACGCAGAGGAAGTTATTTTGTGTGTGTGATTATTATTTCTAGAACCATTTTGCAGAAATGTAAAACGCTACGTCAAAACCTGGCCTCAAACCAAAGGCTCTAGGTTTCTGAATTCCAGGAGGTTTCTAAATTTCAGTCTAGTTTAAGGCAACCCGAGCCCCCAAGGGCCCTATCAGAGTTCGCCATAGGGGCAGAAGCCGGGGAAGGGAAAACGGGCAGAATTTAAAAGTGCGTAGTTGCGGAAGGGAGGGGAGAGGAGAGGGAGAATTATAGAGAGGCTCTCGATTTTCTTTGAGCACATCCTGCTCAGGGCCTGCGTTTGTTTTTTTGTTTTTTTTTTTGTTTTGTTTTGTTTTGTTTTGTTTTTTGGTCTTCGGAACCACTGGTACTTTTCCCATTGGTTCAAACGCTGGAAGGGTGAGTAAGAGGGGCTTCTTTCCCTTAGCTTTCCTCGCAGCCAATTGTCCTGCACTTTCCCTTTCATCGCTGGGGGAGTGAGCCCGATGATTGGCGGGCCCGGGGCAGGGAGCCAATCGGAAAGTGATTAGGTGTGGTGTTGGCAAGCGGATTGCGTGAGAGCCGGCAGAGGTCGAGGGGGTGCGGTCGCTGCCGCGGCAGCTGGCAGCCAATGGCGAGGCAGAATGGGCCCTTTGCGTCAGGGAGGGGGCGAGGCCTGGGCTTGGCGCGGAGGGAGTGGGGCAGGCTCTGTGGAAGGGAACGCCAGAGCGAGGCTGTGAGCAGAGCGGGTCGCGTGAGGCACCGCGACTCCGCGGCTCTGCTTCAGGTGTCACAGACAGTGGCGGCCCGGCTGAGAGCGAAAAGGCGAACGCGATCCCCTGAGCTGTGTCAGCGTGGTCACCATGGACCGTCCGGATGAGGGGCCTCCGGCTAAGGCCCGGCGCCTGAGTAGCTCCGAGCCCCCTCAGCGCGATCCGCCGCCGCCGCCGCCGCCGCTCCTGCGACTGCCCCTGCCTCCACCCGAGCAGCGCCCGAGGCTCCAGGAGGAAACCGAGGCGGCACAGGTGTTGGCTGACATGAGGGGGGTGGGACTGGGCCCCGCTCTGCCCCCGCCGCCCCCCTATGTCATTCTGGAGGAGGGGGGGGTCCGCGCGTACTTCACCCTCGGTTCTGGGAGCCCCGACTGGGAGCCTACGATCGAGTCAGGGTACGGGGGGGAGCCCCCTCCTATGGAGAGCCTGGAAGCATTCTCTCCGGAGGCTTCAGGGGGAAGCCTCTCTTCCGGAGGCGTGGAAATTGACTTTCAGGTGATGGAGCCCAGCAGCTTTGTTGAAGACAAGGTCCTAGAAACCTGTAGCGCAGAGGTGTGGGGGTACCAGAGGTTAGCTGGTCCAGAGGGGAAGGAAGAGACGGTGATCATAGTGGAAGATGACGATGAGGACGAAAAGGAAAGTGTGAGGAAGAGGAGGAGGAGGAGGAGGAAGAGAAAGCAGAGGAAGATGAAGAAGGCCAGCAAAGAGAAGAATGCTGAGAAGATAGAGTGCATCCTGCAGGCACTGGAAAACATTCAACTGGACCTGGAGGCGGTGAACATCAAGGCAGGCAAGGCTTTCCTCCGTCTCAAGCGCAAGTTCATCCAGATGCGAAGGCCCTTCCTGGAGCACAGAGACCTCATCATCCAGCATATCCCGGGCTTCTGGGTCAAAGCAGTATCCTTGTCATCTATACTCATGGGCCAAGAGCCCATGACATAAAGTGGGGGTGGAGGGGGAGGGCCAGACAGGGTGAAAAGGTGTGGAGGCAGGCTCCTATTGGAAGAATGACTCGGTTTGGTGGAGGAGGAATGGAAGGAGTGGGCCAAACATCAGAGAAGCTGGACTAGAAACTGTGAAGGGGGGAGGGAGAAATGTAGCATAAAAACTAGACCACAGATGAGAAAGCAGGTAGAGGAGAAGCAAAACATAAAATTAAAAAAAAGGGATCACAGATGGGGAAAGGGGGAGGGTAGCAGAGGGGCACACAGTGGAAAAATTGGACCAAAATTAGGTGGAGGGAGGGGCACACAGAAGGTGGAGGAGGAGGGGGCAAAGAGAATATAAATGGACTCAGACAGTGAAGAGAGAGGGGAAGGGCACACAGCAGAGAAATTACCCAGAAAGGGTACCTAAGTCACAATGCCTCTGTGAGCCTAGGGGTCTGCTTAGATAGGAGGGAGACCCCAATGCTGGCTGGAGAGAGGAGGGCTTGAAAAGGGCTGGAGCTCTGAAGGGCCAGAAGAAGGAGTACCTGGGAATGGAGAGCAAGGAAGTAAATGAAGGAAAGGGGAGAGTAGGAAGAATCCCATTCACTATTGGTGGTAAGCTCATTGCTGGGGGCACACATATACATGAAACATGTTAGGAACACAGGTTTAACATTCTATCAGAATTATATGGGTACAGATTCCTTGGTATTCTCATACAAATTATCACAGGCCCTCAGCACCCAGACAAGCTATTATGTGGCCACAGGTCCTCAACACACAGACACATAGCATCATGTGACTGTTGGCTCTCATCACCCAGACACAGCATCGCTTAAGACACAAACCCTTAGACCCAGACACACATCATGTGGACACAGACCAACACCCAAATATACAACATCATGTGACTACAGGCCCTCAGCAATCAGATAGAACATCACTTGGATACCAGCCTTCAGTCCCCAGACATGAAATGTCTTGTGAACACAAGCCCCCAGCACCCAGAAACATAACATCACATCGACATAGATCCTCAGCACCCAGACACATAGCAGATAGGAACTGTGGCAAGGTCACATAATACAGAGTTTTAACATTGCATAAACACAGGCTCTCACCACATAAACAGTATTGTGTGAATAAAAGTATAGGTCCTGTTCGATACACATCACATGAACACAGAAGGAATTCTGCTCCAGCCTCTCTTTTGCTCTGCCTTGCCTGGCCTTCTTTCCCTCCTCTCATTGAATAGTCACTCCTTGACCTAAACTGCTCCCTCCATCAGTTCCTCAACCACCCCAAAATTTCAATCTTGATCAACCAACGTGATGAGGACATTTTCCGCTACTTGACCAATCTGCAGGTCAGGCCAAAGGGTTGTTTTTCATTAGGACCAGGCAAGGAATCTGGTCTTTGGAGGTGAGGGGGCTTGGGTGGGAGGGGCCACAGTGTGGTGGGAATTCCACCATAAACCTCATCCTGAGCAGGTACAGGATCTCAGACATATCTCCATGGGCTACAAAATGAAGCTGTACTTCCAGACAAACCCCTACTTCACAAACATGGTGATTGTTAAGGAGTTCCAGCGCAGCCGTTCAGGTAAGAGGCAGTCCCAGGGCAAAACCATGGGCACTCCATCTATCCTTGCCCAGTGCCCTCTTCACAGCGTCCTGTCCCCTTAGGCCGGCTGGTATCTCACTCTACCCCAATCCACTGGCACCGGGGCCAGGAACCCCAGGCCAGCAGGCACAGGAACAAGGACACCAGCCACAGCTTCTTCAGCTGGTTTTCAAACCACAGCCTCCCAGAGGCCGACAGGATTGCTGAGGTGGGACCCCTCCTAGAACTGCCAGAGAAGGCCTTGCTAGGCTTGCCTTTGGGTGCCTGGGGAATTGGGAGTAGGTTCTGGGGCTTGTACTCATAGCTCTGTTCTCCCTTCCCCCTGCCTCTCTTTCAACAGATTATCAAGAATGACCTGTGGGTTAACCCTCTGCGCTACTACATGATGGGAGAAGGGGGCTACAGGGCAAACAGAAGGAAGCAAGACAGGGAAGAAAGGTAATGGGGCATTGGTGGCTGAGAGGTGGTTTGTTAGAGGTGGGGGCAAAGACTAGGATAGTGTCACAGGATTTATAGAGCCAAAGAGACTTTTCATATAATCCAGTTTAGTATGTTTTACAAATGGGGAATGATACCCAGAAATGGGGTGTGATTGGCCTGAGGTTACACAGACAGGCAGAAATGGGACTCTCCCCACTATAGCCTCATCCCTGGGAGCCCTTGTAGTGTACTGCCTCCCCTTTTACTTACCACTTTTCAGTGTCTGCCCTGTGTACACCATCTCTCACCAACCCTATACTCAACCCAGGTTTCCCCACAGTAAAAACAGGGACAAATATGAGGTGGTGATCATGGAAGACTCTGATGACTATCACCTAATGGAAGACATTATCAGCGAGACCTCAGACAGTGATGGTATCACCGACAATGAGACCATTCATGACATCAAGATCTCCGACTTCATGGAGACCACCGACTGCTTTGAGACCACTGACAATGAGATAACTGATATCAATGAGAACCTCTGTGACACTGAGAACCCTGACTTCATTGAGACCACAGACAACGAGAGCCCTGATGACAACGAAACCACTGATAATGAGAGTGCTGATGAAAACATTGAGAATCCTGAAGACAGCAAGGAGAACACTGAAGCCAACAGTGAGAACCCTGAAGACAACAACACTGACAACAATGGTGAGAATGCTGATGGTGATGAGAACCCCAAAGGTGGCAACCGTGGCAATAATGACAATGACCAGGACAGCAGTGACAGTGACAATGAAGGAGACAATGAGGGCAGTGATGATGACGGCAATGAAGGTGACAATGAAGGCAGCGATGATGATGATGGAGACATTGAAGACTATGAAAATGTCATTGAAGACGCTGACAAGGATCAGGATAACAGCAACAACCAGGACGACTATGAGGATGAGGTAGAGAACATATCCGAAGAAGAATCATCATCAGTGCAAGAAGAAGAGGAGCAGGGCAGTGAGGAAGGTGAGCGAGACCCCCTCTTGTCTTTCTCTTCTCTCCGAAAAGCAGGCTAGGGTCAGGCAGGGTGTCCAGGCATGAGCACAATCTGTTCTTGTGGAGAAAAGAAAAGAACATTCTGTGCAACTTTTTAAACAAGGCCAGGGAACACAACTTACAAATTTAACAGAACAAAGAAACAAATGTTTGTGTTGGTTTTGGGTAGATAAGGTTGTAACAGAGCAAAAGAAAAATGAAGAAGAGAGAAGAGATAAGAGACAGTCGGTGGAAAACTACAATGGACAGGTTCACACAGAGAGGGGGAAAAAAGTGGCAAACATTGCAATTCAGCACTCTGTACCCAGCACTGGCATTCTGGGAATGCCCAGGCTTGTTTGAGGGAGCTGGGGGTGAAAACAATGTACTCTGTGAGCTCAAAGGGAACAGCTAATTCTCCCTGAAGAATGGGGAAGGGGAGAACTAGGAAAAAGAGGTAACATTTGAATTGGAGGCTGCATTCTTATTAATGAGCATTAGGGACATTCTCAGAAAGAGTGAAAATGCATAGTACAAAGGTCAGGGTTCCCCAAACTATCTTCTGAGCACCCTTCACCAGTTCTGAAAGCTGTTTTTCATAGAAAGCTTCAGTGGTCAAATATGTTGAGGCAATACCACATGCCATAATATCCCCATGTAGAGTCACATGTATGTGAGCACCTTAAAGGTTCTAAGATGTCTTGCTGTAAGGAATCTCTTTAAATTGTGTGGAACCCAGCATTTCCTGATCTTCTTGGCCACAAAAGCCATTGTTCACTGCTCACCAAAGAATGTGTTTTGGGAAATGCTGAGGAAGGGTTGGAGGTTTAAGGGGAAAGGCAGTATATAAGGTGATTACCAGGTCTGGTTTTTGCCTGGATGACTGGTGAAAGGAGGTACCATTTCCTGGTATGGGGAACATGGTAGTGGTGGGATTGATGGGATGCAGGGAGGAAGATGGGGAATTGAAAGGCTTTGTTGGACATAAGGTACAGGTGGCCCAGGGGCAGGTGGTTTGATTGTTTGTCTGGGAAGTCAGAAGTTATTAAAAAAAAAAAAAGTGGGGTGGAGTAGGGTAACAAGCCAGAGCAGAATGCTAGCCCTGGATTCTGGGTCCAATTAACATTCATTGGGTCCAATTAACAATGAAGCGTTTACAATGTGCCAAGCACCATTCTAAGTGATTTACTTGGTTTAACTCATTTAATCCTCACAGCAACTCTTACGAGGTAGGTACTGTTAACTCCATTTTATACATGAGGAAACTAAGGCTCTGAGAGGGTAAGTTAGGAGGAGAACCAGGTCGTGGAATGTTCTAAGAAGGAGGGGATTGTCAGCAGTGTCCAGTGCTGCTAAAAAAACAAATAAAATGAGGACTGGGATGTGTCCATTGGATTTGGGGCCAAATAGACCATCTATGACCTTGGCAAGAGTCTTCTGATGGATTGGCAGGGGCAGAACCAGATTGCAGTTGGGGTTGGGAAGAATGAGCAGGAGATATGATAATAGAGCCAAACCTTGGCTAGACAGGAGATGGCAGAGGACAGACAAGGGAGAGGCCTGTGGGCGGGCGGACAGAGGAGAGGCAGGCCTTTGGGGGAAGTGGAAGGAGCAGGAAGACCAACCACTTCTGGGGTTTTGGCCATGGAGTCCCTGGGAAACTTCCATTGAGGCAGAAGCAGAACATGAAGGAAGGAGGCACTGAATGTGTGAATAGACTCCACCTGGACCTATTTTCAGGTAGAGTAGGGAAACTGAGGGAGTTGCTGGTCCCATTTCCTCCCACAGATGGCAACTCTTTCGAGAAGGGAGGCAGAACTATCTGCCCAGCCCTAGGGTGGGAGTGGGGGTGGGGAATTGGGCTACAGAAGATAGACTGGGGCTGATTGGGAACAAACTGGAAAGGAGAGGGGGAGCTGCCTCCAGATGAACAGAAGGTTTATTCAGCTGAGGTCGGAGCTCGGGAAGAGACACATTGAGGCATACAAGGGTAGAATGCTACTTTCAGAGATGTATGGATTTTGAGAGGATAGACTCAGGGAGCCCACCCTGCCTTCCTGTTACCTTCCCTTTACCCTTCACTCTCTGGGCTTGCTTGAGTGTACACACAGAGCACACACGCACACACCACACCCACACAGAACACACACATACACCCCTCTACCTGATGCTTGGGGCGGGGTCCCAGGCCCCAAAAGCCCTGGCTATGGGCTCTGTTCCCAGCAAAGAGTGGTATCTACCTGCCCATCTAACCATCCTCCTCCATTTTTCACTGATGTGCAGGCAGTGAGCAAGAAGGTGAGGACAGTGATGAGGAAGGAAGCGAGGAAGAGGAAGGAATAGAAGACGACTCGGAAGGAGAGGAAGACACTGAAGACTCCGACATGGAGGAGGTGCTTCAGGTCCAAAACGTTTGGGCCAACCCGGAGAAGACGGGCAAAACCGGATAAATCTCTTACCCTTTTGGGGGCAGCTTCTCCGTATCCCTCTCCCCATTCCCCATTGGCCCTCTCCCTCAGCTATGGCCACGCGGCCCCACATTGCACTTCTGGGGTTTACCGACTTCGTACACGGGTTTAAAGTTTTATTTTTATGGTTTGGTCATTGCAGAGTTCTTATTTTGGGGGGGAGGGAAAGGGGAATTGCCCCTTCCTTTTGGCGCTCCTCCCCTGCAGGCTTCTGTGTGCTGCTAAACGTATTTATTGTGATGCCTTGGTCAGGGCCCCTCTATCCCCCTCCTCGTGCAGTTTGGAGTGGACACCCTTGATCCCGAAGCGGGGAGGGCCGCTGTGGCCTTGTGGGGCTCTGCTGCCACCCTGTTCTCCCAAGTCTCTCTCTTTCCCTTCCATTCCTCGCCTTTCTCCGCTGTGCCCGCTAGCCCGCCTCGGTGTCTACGCAAGGCTGGTTCGTCAGTGCGGTATACCTGTACCCCTCCCCCAGAAGCCCTGCCTTGTTCCCTGTGAACCCTGGTAATCCTAATAAAGTTCTGAGCAAATTCAAAGTGCTGCTTCGAGTCTTTTGTCCCGGTGCGCGGTCCTCAGCAGCCAGTCTCCTTTCCCACAGGCCAGCATGTAGCCTCCTGATCTACGTATTGGCCTGCAAGATGGTGGGTGCGGGGGCCCGCGGGGTTCGGGGGGCGGTTTGGTTGGCTGGGGGTGAGCTCCGCGGGGCTGCAGAGGTGTTGCGTCAGGCCAATGCGGACCGTCCTGGCCAATGGCAGGGCGAAGCTGAGGAAGCCCCTCCCTCTCCCTCTGGCTGCAGTGGACCCAGCCAGGTAGCGAACGGCTTCCCACGCCTTCACTTCTCGCGCATGCGCGCAGAAGTGCACTGCGACCTGGAACATCCATATATTCAGAGATTCTTCTTGTTATTCATTGTGCGCCAAACCTTTCCTTAGGCCTACTGTGAGTTGGCCGTGGAGGAGCCAGAGGAATCTATTTTTTCTCGCCTGCTTGTAGTAGAAAAAAATTTGTCGATTGGTTCATCACAATCCAATAATGCAGGAGTGCTCTCCGTCTTAGGGAAGGGGGCGCAGGATCCCTGCAACTAGTCCGGGGAGAGAAGTCAAGAAAAGATGGCTCAGGCCGACGAGTTTGCATAGAGATAAGGGGAAAGCAAAGGGAAATTACTATGTGACCGTGTGATGGGCGGAGGGGGGCAGGTGGCGAGTGGTTGGGCGTCTGAAGGGCTGACTTTAGCTGGAAGACCTTGGAAAAGCGAAGTTGTTTAAAATTTTGGATACAGTAACGTTATTTCAAGGGATCCAAGAAATACCTCCCGGATTCTTTCTGTATCATAATGGTAATGTATACAAATACCAGGTCTGTCTTCTGCAATATACCTCTCGAACTTTCCATCCAACGCCCGTATTTTGCTGAGGCTTCAGGTAAGATCAGATTTGCGTTTTAGAGATTGCCCTCTGCTGGCTGCCAGGAGAGTGAGTTGGAGGGAGGGAGAGCAGTGAGGGAAGTTGACTCTGTACCTCAGGTGAGAGTGGCATGATGGGGTAGATATAGTAGGTTTTTTAAAATAAATTTTATTTTAAAGCTTTTGATTTACAGAATTATTATGAAGATAATACAGAGAATATATCCCATAGTCAGTTTCCCCTATTAACATTACATTAGTTTTCCTTATTAATATCTTAAATTACATCATGTTATTCAGATTTCCTTAGTTTTTACCTAATGCCCTTTTCTGTTCCAGGATGCCATCCAGAATACCACAATACATTTAGTTGTCATGTCTCCATGGGCTCCTCTTGGCTATGACTTGTTCCTCAGAGTTGCCTTGTTTTTGATGACCCAGAGTCATTAACATTTGAGGAGTACAGGTCAGGTATTTTGTAGAATGTCCCTCAACTGGGATTTGTCTGATGTGTTTCTCATGAATAGACTGGAATTATGGGTTTAGAAAAGGAAAATCACAAAAAGAGTATTCTCCAGGGAGGGCTGTTCCAGAAGGTCTTTAAGTCACATCCAACTCCAAAATACAGTCTGCTGAACCAGAGAAGATGGACCCCATTTTCTAGGCCCCTAAACAGAAACCAGAAGACCAGGAAGATGAGGAGTCTGACTCAGGGCCTGTTCCCATGCTGAAATTACTTGTCTTTGTATCCTTCACAGCCTACTATACTCCTCTGCAGCAGAAGGCCCTGATCCTGGGGGTGAGTATCCCAGGATCTCCTGGAGCCAGACCTTTAAAATGCCATCCTCTTCGGTGAACAAAAGCAGATTGGCAGGGACAAAACTAGATTCAGGAATATCCTTCCTTCTTCATGGCCAAAAGGGCTGGCACTGGCTCTCTCAGATGGCATCATAATGTGGTGGAAGTGTGGAAGATGGTTGGAAGTAATCCTATTGTTCATTCATTAAACACTTATTGAGCACCTACTGTGTGCCTGATACTAAACTGGGTGATAGGGATACAACAAGGAGACACGATAAGCCAAGTCTTTGTCTTCCTGGAGCCCAGAGTTTAAGACAAGTGTTCTTAACAATTTTTTGTGCCATGGACCTTGTGGGTGATCTGGTGAAGCCTTTGGACTTTTCCTTGGAAAACGATTATCTTTTAAATGCATAAAGTAAAATACCTAAAGTTACAAAAGAAACTGATGATATTGAAATATTGTTCTTAAAATATGGAAAAAGCAAATATGTGCTATAGTAATATATGTGCTTCTTGTTAATACATTAAATCATGAGATCTAATGGAGGGTCTAATGACATCATGATTTTAAAATACAGGAGATTACATGATATTTGGAGAGATCTGCAACATTTATAATATGATATGGAAATCTCTGTGACTTCTATTGGTGACAGAATCGCAGATACTACTACAACTATAATTAGTTACATTCTTTACTGGAAAAATGCTAAATTTCAATTAGAGGAGAGTGAAAATAAAGATGTAAATTTTTTTCCTCCAAATTCATGGGCCCCTCCCAGACTGGATTGGAGGTCTGTGAACCCAAATTAAGAGCCCCTGGTAGTAGGAATGTCCTTCGTAGCTTTCCTTCCTTCATTAAACCACTTTCACCTGGAGGACAAAAGCCTAGGTTTTAGTCTGGGTATTATGCTGGTTACTGCTGTGTGACCTCAAGCCAATTAGTTTGCCTTTCTGGGCCATAGTTACCTCGGTCTGAACAATGGGAAAGGCAAGAATTGGGAGAGGAGACTATTTATGCTCTGGACAATTAATTTATGTTCTCTCATTTAACCCTAACAACGACAGTTAGGGAAGATTTTTAAATAATCTCCCTGTTTCACAGATGGTTAAATTGAGGCTCCTAGCGAGCGTCAGTAAGTAGTAGGGGCTGATGGTGACTGGCCAGAACCCCACAACCATCCTCTATGGGTGAAATTAGGAGCTACGCTCACTTTGGGAGAAACCGGCTCAGAATTCCCTGCATGTAGAGGTAAAGCTAAAGGAAATTGGGGGCAGAGTTGTTTCTCTAGCGGGGTAGGTGACACAAGGTGGCTTACCCCACAAGGTGGCTTATGCACAGTAAGATGTCAAGATGTTCCCACTGTTCAGTGACTTGCACCAGGCCTTTGAGCTTCGTGCGTGCGTGTTCCCAACTAACCTCCCAAAGCGCTGTCAAATAGCTTGGCAAAGGACAATGACAAGTCCTCCTCTCCTGGCCAATCCTACTAAAGGGTGAGCTTGGCCTGTAAACCAATCAAAGACACCCCCAAAGGGGCGGAGTTTCTTCCGTCCGGATCCCCGCCTGCGCAGAAAAAAATAGTGTTTCCGTCTCCAGCCAATCCCAGAGAAGGCAAGAGAGCACTACTCCAAAGGGAACCCGGGAGCTGTCGGTAGCGCTGGAGGCCTGCGACCCCGCTCGCACTAGAACCGACAAGAGGACGCGGCCTGTTTGCACGAGATCCAGCTGCCAGCCCCTCGAATGTTCAAGCGCGCGACAGCGGCGGCGCCCACGGTCGGAGGTGTCAGGTGAGACGCTGTAAAGGCGGGGACGGAGCGCGTGAGGGGTGGGGCCTGGGCGAGTTTTTACTTGAGCGGCCTCTCAACCCTAGGTCTGCAGGCTGCGGAGGATCCTGCGGGTAGCAAAGTGAGGGCGCAAAGTGAGGGCGAGTTCCTCTGCGAACCCAGCCGACAACTAGGTGAGTACCCTGCAGAGCACACTGCCCATGCTCGCCCAACCCACCACCACTCCCGTCTCTTGGAAAACGGCTAAGTGCAGGTCTGCAGCTTAGGTGATCGTCTGCGTGCCTGTCTGCTAGTTTCCCTCTCTCGCCACCGCCCCGCTTTGCCCCGTCTCCCTTTCTTTCTCCCTCCTTCTTTATCTCCGTCTTTCTGTCTGTCTTTCTGCCTGTCTCTCTGTCTGAGACATACTAGAGAGCTCAGACCTAGAAAGCTGGACCCTGACCCTACCAGTTAAAATTAGCCATGAGACCTTGAGCCATCTTCTTCACCCACCTGGGCCTCAGTTTCCTCACCTGTCAAATGGGGGTCTAATAATCTCCACTTGAAACCGTACATGTGCATCCCTTTGCCCACACCTGGCCCCTGGAAAATTTTCAATCAATAACGACTATCGTGATTGAAAAGAATATTCTCTCTCGGTTTTTGGCTTCGTTTTCTCCCTGTCTCTGACCCTCTCCCCATTGTTTCTTCTTTCTAGTGTTTCGGTCTTTCTCTGTTACTGTTTTTTTCTCTACCTGCCTCTTTCCTATCCCTAAACATGTTAGAGGTGCATTGTTTATAGCACTGAGCTTAGCCTGAGAGGACCTATGAGCTTAGTCTTGGGGCTCTGGACCATTCTATGGGTAAAAGAAATGGAGCCTGGCCTTGGGCTGCTTCTGGCCTCACTGAGGGGAGAACCCTTTGTTCCCCACCCCACTGTGTTAAACAGGCAGGGACCCCTAGGGTGGGGAGCAAGTTAGATGAGAAAGTGGATCAACCTGTTACCCTATATCATGTTGGTCACCATAAGAGAATCAGGGGTCTTCTAATTACATCCTCATATAGCCCTGAACACCCTCTCTTCTGTTCCCATCCAGAAATCCTCTGATCAGGCCTTCTGGAACTCACCTCAGTCATCAGCAAAATCCCCTCCACTCTCACCCTGGTTTCTGAATAGTGTCCTTTGTTTTCTTCCCTTGGACCAAACACTCCATTTCTATAAGGCATGTTTTGAAGTGCCCCCTTCACTATTCTGAAACGAAGTGCATAAATAATAGAATCCATCTACACACGTAATTTCCTCCAAACCAATACAATGTCCTAATTGTAATATAAGGGAGAAGTAAAGGAAGAGCAATTTGTAATAAAGCAACATGTATTTCAATATGTAAAGGCTGGGATAGAATTCCATTGGAAGACATAATGAAGTGGTCTTGTACATACTGATACTTGTACCTGGGAGTGTGACAACTGCACATGTTGACTGGTAACTCAAACCACGGTGATGCAGTTTTCCTAGGTGATGAACAATTCTTCATAAATTTCTAAACAAGATAAAGTGCAATCTTCTCTCAATTTGTATGGTTTTGGTGAGTTTCTTGAAAAGTCAGTATATATTAAAACCCATGAATGTGCCCCATAACATTTCTGACCTGATCTCTAATCACTCTCCCCACTTGCACCTTCTGTTTTATCCATGCTGGCCTTCTTTCTGCTACTGGAACTTATTAGGCACACTTCTAACTCAGGGGTTTGTACTGGACCAACCGTTGTACCTAGACTGCTTTCTTCCCAAATATCCACAAGGCTCATGCCCTCACTTCCTTTAGGCCATTACTCAGATGTCACTTTCTCAATGAGGCTTACCCTGACTATCCTGTTTAAAATTGCAGCTCACCCCTAGCATGTACCCTGATCTACATTTTCCATAGTGCTCCTCACCCTCTTACATAGTATATAATTTACATCTTTATTATATGTTGTTTATTGTCTGACTCTTCTACTCAATTGTAAGTTCCAGAAGGGCAGCGATTTTTATCTTTTTTTGTGCCCTGATGGATCTTTGTTACCTATAAGAGTGCTTGGCACATAATACCCTCACACAGTCAGTTTTTGTTGAATGAATAAAGGAATGAATGAACAGGTTTTCCACCTACATGATTGTCTATTGGGACATTCTGAAGTTGTAGGAGATGCGGTACTCTTGGCTCTGTGGAGTTGTTTTGTGCACTGAAAGAGACTGAGCATCCCTGCTCCATGCCTACTAAATGGCACTAGTGATCTCCAATTATTATAACAATCAAAAATGCCCCCAAACACCCCTTGACTGTCCACCCTGAGAAACACTGTTTAATAGAAATCAGGCTTTCCCCTGAGCTCTGTGCTACCCAGCAACCCTCTCATACCCCTCTTGCCAGGATCACAGCAGATGGGGGAAGATGTCCTCATTCTAATTGCCCGTCCTAGACATTTTCTCTCCCTCCTCAGACCTTTAGTAATTAAAATTTTTTATTAAGGTATTATTGATATACACTCTTATGAAGGTTTTACATGAAAAACAATGTGATTACTACATTCATCCATATTGTCGAGTTCCCCCACAATGCCCTGTTGCAGTCACTGTCTATCAGTGTATTAAGATGCCACAGAGTCCCTATTTGTCTTTTCTGAGCTACACGGTCTTCTCCGTGACCCCCCACATACCGTGTGTACCAATCATGATACCCCACAATCCTCTTCTCTCTCCCTCCTCACCCACCCTGCCCCACCCATCCCCTTTGATAACCACTAGTCCCTTGGAGTCTGAGTCTGATGCTATTTTGTTCCATCAGTTTTGCTTTATTGTTATACTCCACAAATGAGAGAAACCATTTGGTATTTGTCTTTCTCTGCCTGACTTATTTCACTGAGCATACTACCCTCTAGCTCCATCCATGTTGTTGCAAATGGTAGGATTTGTTTCTTTCTTATGGCTGAATAGTATTCCATTGTGTATATGTACCACATCTTCTTTATCCATTCATCTACTGATGGATGCTTAGGTTGCTTCCATATCTTGGCTATTGTAAATAGTGCTGCAGTGAACATAGAGGCTTATATGTCTTTTTGAATCTGAGAACTTGTGTTCTTTGGGTAAATTCCTAGGAGTGGAATTCCCAGGTCAAATGGTATTTCTATTTTTACTTTTTGAGGAACCTCCATATTGCTTTCCACAATGGTTGAACTAGCTTACATTCCCACCAGCAGTGTAGGAGGGTTCCCTTTCTCTGCATCCTCGCCAGCATTTGTTGTTCCTAGTCTTTTCGATGTTGGCCATCCTAACTGGTGTGAGGTGATATCTCATTGTGGTTTTTATTTGCATTTCCCTGATAATTAGTGATATGGAGCATCTTTTCATGTGCCTGTTGGCCATCTGAATTTCTTCTTTGGAGAATTGTCTGTTCATATCTTCCACCCATTTTTTAATCGGGTTATTTGCTTTTTGGTTGTTGAAGCATGTGAGTTCTTTATATATTTTGGATGTTAACCCCTTGTCAGATATGTCATTTACAAATATATTCTCCCATACTGTAGGATGCCTTTTTGTTCTGCTGATAGTGTCCTTTGCTGTGTACAGAAGCTTTTTAGGTTGAGATAGTCCTAGGTGTTTATTTTCACTTTTGTTTCCCTTGCCCGAGGAGATGCATTCAGGAAAAAGTTGCTCATGTTTATATTCAGGAGATTTTTGTCTATGTTGTCTTCTAAGAGTTTTATGGTTTCCTGACTTACATTCAGGTCTTTGATTCATTTCAAGTTTACATTTGTGTATTGGGTTAGACAATAATCCAGTTTCATTCTCTTGCATGTAGCTGTACAGTTTTGCCAACACCAGTTGTTGAAGAGGCTCTCATTTTCCCATTGTATGTCCATGGTTTCTTTATCATATATTAATTGACCATATATGCTTGGGTTTATATCTAGGCTGTCTAGTCTGTTCCATTGGTCTGGGGGGTCTGTTCTTGTGCCAGTACCAAATTGTCTTGATTACTGTGGCTTTGTAGTAGAGCTTGAAGTCAGGGAGCATAATTTCCCCAGCATTATTCTTCCTTCTCAGGATTGCCTTGGCAATTTGGGATCCTTTGTGGTTCCATATAAATTTTAGAACTATTTGTTCCGGTTCATTGAAGAATGCTGTCAGTATTTTGATAGGGATTGCATTGAATCTTTATATTGCTTTATGCAAGATGCCCATTTTGATGATATTAATTATTCCTACCCAAGAGCAAGGGATGAATTTCCATTTACTGGTGTCCTCTATAATTTCTTTTAATTTCTTGCAAGAGTATCTTGTGGTTTTCAGGGTATAGGTATTTCACTTCCTTGGTTAGGTTTATTCCAATTTATTTTATTCTTTTTGATGCAATTGTGAATGGAATTGTTTTCCTGGTTTCCCTTTCTGCTAGTTCATCGGTAGTGTATAGGAATGCAACAGATTTCTGTGTATTAATTTTGTATCCTCCAACTTTGCTGAACTCAGATATTAGCTTTAGTAGTTTTGGAGTGGATTCTTTAGCGTTTTTTATGTACAGTATCATGTCATCTGCAAACAGTGACAGTTTGACTTGTTCTTTACCAATCTGGATGCCTTTTATTTCTTTATGTTGTCTGATTGCTGTGGTGAGGACCTCCAGAACTGTGCTGAATAAAAGTGGAGAGAGTGGGCATCCTTATCTTGTTCCTAATCTTAAAGGAAAGGCTTTCAGCTTGTTGCTGTTAAGTATGATGTTGGCTGTGGGTTGGTCATATATGGCCTTTATTATGTTGAGGTACTTGCCCTGTATACCCATTTTATTGTGAGTTTTTATCATGAATGGATGTTAAATTTTGTTGAATGCTTTTTCGGCATCTATGGAAATGATCCTGTGGTTTTTGTCCTTCTTTTTTTTGATGAGGGGTGATGTTGATGGATTTTCTACTATTTTACCATCCTTGCATCCCCGGAATAAATTATACATGATCATGACGGATGATCTTTTTGATGTATTTTTGAATTCAGTTTGCTCATATTTTGTTGAGTATTTTTGTGTCTATGTTCATCAGGGATATTGGTCTCTAATTTTCTTTTTTTGTGGTATCTTTGCCTGGTTTTGGTATTAGAGTGATGCTGGCCTCATAGAATGAGTTTGGATGTATTCCCTCCTCTTCTACTTTTTGGCAA